CCCGCCCAGCTCCTAGTAGATTTGAGTTTTATTGCTCTAAATGCTTTTTGAAAGAATCATATTTGTACCACATTTTGTAGTGCTTATCTCAGAATGCCTTCAGGTCAGTTGATTTTGGGTATTGGACTGGAAACAATTTTGAGATGGTTCCATATTTTAAGTACAAAAAAACATAACAGAGCATTTTCTTAGACGGGGAAGATTTGCAAACTTTTATTTGCAGTTTTCCCATTTTATCTCAGACTTTGTATTCCTGTAGTGTTGTATAAGTAGCCTTATAGAATCCAGTTTGTTTTTATTTTTTATTTTTTTTAAATTTTTTAATATTTATTATTGAAAGACAGATATAGAGCATGAGCATGGGAGGGGCAGAGAGAGGGGGAGACACAGAATCTGAAGCAGACCCCAGGCTCTGAGCTGTCAGCACAGTGCTGATGCGGGGCTCAAACTCACAAGCAAGATCATGACCCTAGCCGAAGTTGGACGCTTAACTGACTGAGCCACCCAGGTGCCCCTAGAAGCCAGCTTTTAGAATGACCATTGAACCTTTTGAAAGTTGTTTTTTTGTTGTTTTTTTTTTTTGTTTTTTTTTTGCTTTAAATGGGGAGTTGCTGTGGAAAGTAAAGTTCATTTTCGTTCAAATATTACTGAGCACATGCACAAATCAGACTGTGGGCCTGGAATGGTTCTGTAGATCCCTCTGAGGTCCACCTGTCCATGCCATTACTGTGACATCAGGGAGACAGCCAGATTCTTGTTGTCTTTATTAGATGGAAGGTAGTGGTGGAGCTGTGTCACAGACTCTGGGTCTAAAGTTCTCTCTGGTCCAGCAAGAGAGTGGACGCAGGATTAAAATGGGAGAGATGGCTAATGTCTGGGAGAAGACAAGAGCCCCAAATAAGGGTCCTTGCTCCATATTTGTTAAGATCAGAAGGCTTACAAATGTGATGGGCGTGCACAAAGAGATAATGAATCTGTGAACATTAACTCATGGGCATGAGGGAAAAGGGGTTTTGAAGATATATGGTGTTAGGGGTTTGGGTCTATATAAACCAAAATCCTGGTGCCGGGCAGATGGATGTTAAGGGTAGACCTGAGGTGCTGTGTCTGTTTATCTTAGCCAGCCTAGGGGATAAGACAGACAGAGGATGCAACCTCAGGGTCAAAAGCCACCTTTCTTTTGCTAATCAGCTCTGCTCTGGGTAGTTCACCCCTCAGTGGTCTATCACCCTATTTACCTGTTTACCTAATTTGGTTCTTCCTTCCTGTGAAAGCAGCTTTCTGCTATAGTACTAAATTGGGGGGCCTTTTCGCCCTGAATACCTAATCTCATATACCTTTGCCCCCCGCCCCCCATCTTGGGGCCTCTGCCCTGTCTATACTTATTTACCCAATCTTGTTTACCCACACTTGGGTGTGAGCATCCTATGGCTTTGTAATTCTTTTTGCCTTGTTGACCCATCAGTGCAGGCTCAGGGAATTATTCCTAAGCTTATTCCCCACAGAGCTGCTCCTTTGTGTCACATCAAGGGAGATAGAAGGATTTGACGAGAACTTTTCAGATAGCATTTTTTGGAACCATAGCAAGAACTTGATGTCCCAGAGTTGCAGTTATGAGATTAACTCTCATGTTGAGACTGGAAGTGGTTGGGTTTAGTCAACT